CAAGTTTTCCTCAGGGAGGCAAAATGCAAGGGAAAAGGAAAGAGAAACACGTAATAACTAAAAGGGGATCAAACCTGGAAGCATGGTAGGTTCTTGATGTCGTCTTCAGTAACAAACAGTAACCTAAAAAGTGTGAGAGTCAGAACTCAGAACAAACAGATGTGTTGTATTGTATCTTTCGCCATGAGAAATAACAGGAGACGCCTACCTTTTATTGTTCTCATCTTCGCTCAAGCTTGTTAATCTTTCTTGGGATTCTCTGCAATCAGGTCGATTCTCAACAAGATTGTACAAGAATAGCAGAAATAGGAAATAAATATGGTTTACGAAAATACCTGATTTGGTCATCTAACTTTGCCTCCTCAGCTGTGAGGTTTTGTATTTCATCCTGTGCAAAGATCAAGGGAAAACTAAATGTCAAAACTAAAAATGGTACTGGGAATTTAATGAACCCCAATAGTTTTTCAAACAGAAAGACGAAACAAGAAACAAATGTAAGTGACTGAGATTGATAGAGAAAAAATGCAGTAATCGAATAGTTAGTAATTCAACATCTCTGAAATTAAACTGTATTGCATCACATAGTTTGCAGTGGAACATGTCATTGACAGGTAAAGGAATACACATGTTCTGTACCTGTAAGTTAGCTATGCTTTCGACTGTTTCTCCTGGTTTTGAGACATCGAGTCCCCTAAGACAGACAATAGAAAACTCAGAACACTGTCACTCACTCATGAAGCATCAAAAATCAAAGAAATCCAAAATTTGAAAGTCGGAAGACATGCTTACTTCCACTGAATCCTATTCTTGAGCGTCTTCTCAATCAAACCTATTCCTTCTAACACGTTGGTTATATCGTATATCCGTCTCTTTTGTACCTGCATTTACAGGAACACGTAATTATGACTTGACCGAGAGTAATACATCAAGAAGGCAGCTAAAAGTTTGAATATGCCACCTCTAATGTATCAGCTGCTTTATTCAGATCAAGAATACCATCTTCTGCTTGTTTTATCAAATTGATAAATTTCTTCGTCAAAAGACCTGAAGCAGATTAGATCACAAATAAAGCTTATTATCCAAAATGTAGTTTTCCATCAAACATTAGTTTGTGCAATAAGTTATTACCTAGCGAACTATCATACCGACAAGTACCCGCCTGTGCAAAGTTGTTTCCAGGAGAACCTGCCAACACAAAAGATCCTTCTCACTACATTGCAGTTGCCCCATCATCTCTTTCATGTAATTGTTAGCTCAGAAGAGCAAAGTTTATCATTGGCTAGCTAGAAAAGAAACACAGAGCTTTCAGGCGAAACTCACCTGCATTAGAGCCAGAAGCTAGCGTTCCAGTTTTATTAGACTTGACTGACCTAGATGACTTTTTGGGCTTCCCTCCTTTCCCTGATACAGGTGTTTGGAGAACACCCGTATTCAATTCACTGGGCTCATCTATTTGGTTTACCATATCTGTCTTACGCTTCAGCTGCCAATAAAAGCACCCGAATTGTACAGTTAAATACATCACAAAGCAAAACAAAATCTTTAACAGACGAATAACAGAAGAAGACAGACACCACTAAATAACATTGAATCAGTAGAGAACCTCCACGCTTGACTTCTATAACATTATCCTATAAGCATCATACTGTCACTTAGCTGAATCTAAAAGCATAGGCAAAAATAGCAAAATTTAGAAAGTAAACTAACTCCGTAGAAACAAAAAAGCAGAAATTTGCTCTAAATAGCAAGAAGAGGAACACCAAAAACCCTAATCCAGTAACTAAAGTACTTCGTAGACAATTGTAACTTGCAATGCCTATTCCATATACTACAAACGAGCCCAATCAAGGAGGCCAAACGCAATTACACCGCCGGAATCAGATCCCAGCACAATTCTCATCGGAATTTCACACCTTGGTATAATCATTCATATAATCAAGCCTCGAAATTATAGCGAGTAGTTAAAAATTCACAGCCAAAATCGACACTAATACTTACAGCAGATTTAATAACGATCGCCTCAGCAGCCTGATCAGGAGTTCCACCTCCGCGAGTCTCCGCCGCGTCAAACCGGTGATACTCGCCGGGAGCAACTAACGGAGGCTTCATAGAAGCCACGGAATGATGATACTGCCGCTTGGAAGGTGGATATTGCTCAGAATCTTGCTGAAACTCAGACATCGGAGCGAATCTCGATAATTCCACCCTGAAAACCCCCAAAAACGAAACGGCAAAAGCAACCGAAAATTCTCGTGAAAAAAAAATCTCCAGAAATTCGGATCTCCGGGAAACAGAGATCCTAACAGGTTTCCGGAGGCAGATCCGCGGCTGGAATTGCTGGGATTCCGGGAAGAGAACGTGAGCAGATCGGCGAAACGAAAAAAAGCGGGAGAGGAGAAAAAAAAAAGAGACGGTGGAAGAGAGGAAGAAAACGAGGGAATGAGTTGCGTTTGGTTCAGATTACTGATGTGGAGGGAAGCGCACTCCTACACTATCTTTTTTACTCTTAACCAAAATCCCAACAAATAAATAATCCTCTCTTTTTTTTTACATTTTTTAATTACATTCGGTATACAAATTAGTAAAGGTTTTTTTTGGTCCCTCAACTAAATTATTAAACCTCTGTAGTCTAATTTTGGAAACCGCTTAACTGAGTTGAGAGTTGAGAACTAAAAAATGTTAAATTAATTTGTGTTCAATGAAGTTAGGATCTAATTTTGAGACACCTGAAAGAAAAAGAAAAAAAACTAAACAGCTGGTGGTCAGTAAAAATTGTGTTGGATTTATTCGTGTTAAATATTTGAGCAGGTTTTATCAAACTGTTACATCCGTTACACGCGTTAAGCGTGAACAAATAATCGTTCAAAATCCGTCAAACATATACGTTTTTGATTAATACTCGTACACGAGCCCAAAATACTGACAAGGAAAAAGAAATCTGTCATAGACTAATATCCTGGTGTTGATGAATTCTACTGAACCAGTGATAAACAAAGATTTCGAACCGGTTAAGCCCGTCGGACTGGTTAAACCACAAAACGTCACCCTACCATAAAAATGATAAATACACATGTTGACCCTGAAACAGAGCAAATGAACACTAGTGAAATATAAAATTTGGACTCAGAAACCAGTCTTATGTTTTGACTCGATAAAATCCAATTAAATCCAGCTCATGGAAATTTTGGCACTGATAAGAGGTTAAAAAAACAACATGTATTGTGTGGATATTAACAATCAAGACAACTGAATTTTGGGAAAACGTTTGTTATGTGAATGCAGACACTCAGATTCTGACTGAAGCTGCTATACATATAGACAATTAAAAGAGATATTAATACAAAACATACACAGACACTTTACTTGAACAGATGGGCAAGATCAGGGTCATCCAAATCCACATCAAGCAATCCATTCAACCGCATGAACTCAATGTATCGATCTGGAGGAGTGATGGCACGAGTGTTGTTGTTCTTCGGTTTGAAACAATGAACTCTCTGGAGATCTCTTGCAAGCCAACGCACAAAATCTCTGTCCAATGGAGGTACAATCTTCAAATGGATCTCTTCGCGTTCTTCTTTCACCGTTGTTGTAGCTTTGTTTCCCATCTTCAAAACCTCAATTAAACAAAAAAAACAAGCCTGCATATATAGAGACTAGAGAGTATTGAGAAAATGAAGATCACAACCTTTTAGCAGATGAATTCTGGGAGTTTAAAACAATCTACAAATCTCTCCATCACCTAAAGCAACATTCACACTATTAGCTAATTTAAGTATTAAACCTTTATTAACAAACCAACCCTACATTATATATCTCATATGAATCTCAAGTAAATGCATTGACCACACAAATTCAGGTAAGTTCTTAGAAATGATGAACATATCATCAGGAAAAATAGTAGTATACTTTTAGAGAAATCCGTCTTCTAAAATTCATTAAACAAAATTTCTAAAACTACATAGGTGGGGGAAGTGGAAAATTTACTTCAATTTCTATCACTATGTAAGAAAATAAAAACAGGTGTTGTAATCCAAAAACCTAGCCAACAAATTAAGTCGTAGCTAGATCAGAAAAAATAAACAGCTGGGAAACGAAACAGGAAATCTAGAGATTTTACCTTTCAATCAGAGAGAAAACATTCCAGAAATCGATGGAGAATTAGAAGAATTTCTGACCAGACACTAGAGAGCGGTGGTTGCAGAGAGAGAGAAGAGATGTAATCAAAATGCGTTAAGATGTATGGGCTTTACGCAAAATTGTATGTCGTTTTGTGGCTTAGGCCCAATAACTTAAAAGCCCATTATCTGGATGCTCAAGTGGAAACGAAAGAAAATATGTAGAGTGCACATGTAAAAGATGCAAGAAGATGACGTGCACATGTTACGAACGTATACGCTAATACGCGCATTCTCTTCGTATCACTTAATCCAATATGTAAAAGAAAAATATAGTAAAAGCAAGATTAATTATTACGTTTCATTAGATCCATAAATAGACTGATGATCGGAGAAAAAACCAAAAATCTAAAAGCTCGCGTCCGTATAATTCGTCCGGAACAAGTAATCACACGGCCTCATATGTCCGAGCAACGATCCTTTCATATTTCCAGCCGGGTCCACCGTGAAATTCACCGGTATGCCGCCGCAGTTCACCATCAAGAAACCTTGACCAGGAGAACGCGAACGACCGGTTATACGAAAGCTAGACACGAAACTGACCCTAAGATCCCAAACCACTCCGCCGCCAATACCGTCGGGCGTCGCAACCGTTTTGAAAACGGAATAAGGAAGCGACTCGTTTATTTTTCCGCTGACGAGTTTCCCGAAATAGTCCGTAGTGAATGACTCGGAGATAAGCTTGTCGCCGCGGAGGAGACTCGATTTGATCGTGTGGAGAGAGATCTTGCACGTGTTGCCTGTGCTCTCGGCCACAAAACTGACGTTCCAATCAGCGGTTGCGTTTGCGTTTGTGGTGGAGGTGTTTGAGACGGAGAAAGAGTCGACGAAGACCTCCATGTGACAAGTCCCTAAGGCGGCTAAACTGGTTACTATTGTTAAATAAAAAGACAAACAGAGTCCCGTGATTAAGAGAGTAAAAAAGAGGAAGATAACGCAGAAAGAGGTTCGAGTAAGCTTGAACGCTCTTTCTCCGTCATCACCGTTTGCGTTTCCGGAGGCTGGAGCTTCCCGGCGGCATCGGCAGTGTTGGCTCCGCAGGCCACAATGGGGACAATTAGATCTTGCCATTATAATTTATGAGAAAAATAAAGATACACTTTGATTTATGGTTAACATTGCAAGCTATCAAAGTATCTTAAGAATATTTGTAATTGTTGATTTAGTTTCAGAAAATCTGAACTAAGGAGAAAAATATGCTAAATTTCAAAAGTGTCTAGACTATGTTTTCTCCGTTTTAATATGTAATCTAAACAATAAAAGATATCTCTAATTCGTGTATTGTTTATTTTGAAACAATTTAAATTTAACTTCAAATCTGACCAGGTCTCCGATGATAATCTCCGAAATATCATAACAAGATCACTTATCCACACGTACAAAATAAAATTATAATGGGAAAACGTAGCATTTTTTTGTAATTAAAATTTATTCGGAAATGATGTCCTACCATCTTTCTAATCATACATATAAATATATAATGTAGATTTTTATGATTCAGATTGTTAAGATCACATCAAAACCATTCCTCCTTTATCTCTCTACCTCAAACGCCCAAAGAAAACAAATATAGCTAATAGCTTGCCGGAGATAATGAGCGGATTCCCAACGCCACCGTCCTCAGCCACTGATCCTCCTCCTACTTCACAGTGGTGGAATCAACTATATTTATTAATTTTTCGTCATAATGAACGCACTGAAGAGGAAAAAAGGTCCATTACTAAACCCATGGTTCTCGGCTATGGAGCCGCGTTCAGTTTCATTGCCATCTTCTTCTTGATCTTGAATGTTGCCAACAGACTGATTCCCTGCAACGTCAGCTTCTCCGTGGAATCTATCTCCGCTTCTCCCTCTTCCGCCACGTGGCACGTCGATTTCCTCGTGACATCCCCGACCTCGATGTGTCCTGTCTACTACGACGTCGATGGCGTGTACGCGAAGCTAGGTTCCTTAACCACCACCGTTTTGAATACAACCCACGAGGGTCTTTCACGTGGCCATACCAAGTTTTCGGTGGATTTAGCTACGGAGGGTAATCAAAGCCACGTCGCTGCAGCTTTTCCTAGTGTTTTGGACGTGAAACTTAGTGCGAAGAAGAAGAAGCTTTTACTAGTAGATGATTACGGACATTTCGATATTAGGTGTCAGATTCTGAATCCCGGTTATGAGAAGACTAAATGCCATTCTTCTTTCAAAAAGTTGAAACAGTGTTGCTAAATTTTATTGAATATGTATGGCTTATGAGTCATGAGGCTTCGTTGCTTTCCTCGTCTTTTTCTTTTTCTTACTTCAATTTTATGTTTTTGTTGTGATCACATTAATCTTTAGCAAATTAAAATGGATTCTAGCTTTCGTGAAAAGTAATCCCTACGACTATATTAGTATTTTACTATTTTACAAGAATACAATTAACGATTAGTGAGTGAATGAGATGTTCCGCAACCCTAGATCTCTACATCGACGCCGGGTTACTTCGAGTTGCAATATGTACATGCAAATTTTTTAAAATATGGTTATCTTAATTTTTTTCCCCAACAAATATGGTTATCTTTATTGAAAACATATAAATTTCGTCAAAGTATAACCACGTCCATAATCCCATCTTATTTGATCAACATAACTACGAGTAAAATACAAATAAAAGAAATAAAATAACCTAAAGCAAAGAACTCGTAAATAGAGATCAAATTCAAATGAATCATGGTCGGGGAGATCTAAAGGAAAGATTCAAATCATCACTGAATAAATAATCACACCGTTTCATATTTCCTAGCAACGATCCAATCACATTCCCCGCCGGATCGGCCGTGAACTTCACCGGTAAATCGCCGCACAACACCATCAAGTAACCACCTCCGCAGTATACACTCACTCCGGCGGCAATCTCCACCCGATAATCCCTAACCACGCCGGCCATAACTCCCGGCATTGCCACCGTTTTGAAATCGACAGCTAATACCTTCCCGTCTGTTTTGTCTTCGGTAACAAGCCGTCCGAAAACATCCACCGACGTAGGGGACTCGGAGATGACGTCGTCGGCACGAAGGAGACGCGATTTGATTGTATGGAGAGAGATTTTGCAGTCGGAGACCGGACTCATCGCGATCAAACCGATTCTCCAATCAGCAGTTGAAATGTTTGCGTTTACGTCTGAGACGGAGACGGAGACGGAATGGGCAAAGAGGTCCAAGTAACAGCCAGATGTCCCGTTGAAAAATAGTTTTCCTGTACAGAGGAGTAAGATAAGGTAGAAAAAAATAGCCCAACAGGAGTAGCAACTACATAAACAAGCTGGAGTGATCTTCAGTAGCACATCGTTTGCGCCGCGGGATACGGTGGTGGATGCTTGCCGGCGGCATTGGCAATGTCGGAGGCCACAAGAGGTACATCCAGAAGCTTCCATGTTGTTGCAAGTTTAACAATGCTTTATGAAAAGATTAACTTAGTTATAAGGTTTTAGTAAATACAAATGAAAAGTTGATTCTTTATACTTTAGTTTTTTTTTTTTTTTTTTTGTTATAATATCGTAATCTTCGTTTTGTTGATAAAGATCCGCAAGAAATCCTAAGGGAGGTTGGTCTTGTTTATCTACTTTAATTACTAATTTAATAAATAATATATATACAGTTAGTAAATTAAATTATACGGAAGCTAACATAATAATGATTTGAAGGAAATTGGAACTACTTTCTTCTTTCTTACACCGAAATCGGAACTGTTTTCTTTTATTTTTTCTTTTTCTTTCTAATGCCGAAATCGGAACTACTTACTTGTAGGATATGAACGTGATATATTGTATGGAAGAAGGAAAAACAAAATATTTTATTAAATAGACTTAACTTGAAACAAAAAAGAAAAGAAAAACAAGAAGAAGATGAATGAAAACTAGACGCTCAATTTAAATTAAATAAAAACATTTGAATGCATAAAAGAGGAATGACAAATAATATTCTTAATGTTCTCATGGCTTCGGGTCAGATTTTGACATGTTATATCAAAATGTCCAGCTCTATCATCATCTACGTAACGCTTATGCTTCCCAGCGAGTTTGACGTGTAGTAGCTGCCCGGAAGAAGCGGCGTCGTTTCCACTACCCTCAGCATCGAAAGCCAACGAGAAAGCCGTGTGATCTCTTGAACTACGCTTACGAGTGATCTTGAAAACGTCGACGTTTAGCTGACCGAGCCTCACTGAAGTATCGCCGTCGTAGTAGATAGAGTATCTGGAGCTCGGGTTTTCGACGAGGAAGTCGACGTGCCACGTGGCGGAGGAGGGAGAGAAGGCGACGGATTGGATGGAGAATTTGGCGTGGGAGTGAGCTTGGTCGATGGATGAAGAGACTGCATATATGATGATGACGGTGATCAAGCCGCCGACAAAGGGTGAAAGGAGAGCCACAAATTCCTTGAAAGTTGCTTGACCACGTTCTTTAATAGTCAATATTGGTCGTGACCACCACTCTCGAAGACGACTGAAGGTGGAAGACGGTGGCGCCGTTGGATATCCGTAGGTATAAGAGTTTGTTTCGGTAGCCATATTTTTTGTGATCTGGTTTGGAGAGAGAGCAAGAAGAATTCTATATTTGATGTTATCTTATCATAAGATTATTGAAAAATCAATCTCTTAATTTATTAATTATTTATTTTTTGGCTGTTTGTTGAATTTATTGTGCGTGGATAAAGAAAGTTTGTTATGATATAATTAAATTAGTTAAGAAAAACATCATATTATATTGATGTAAAAAAAAGTTTTACCAGAATCAGTTTATGCAACAACTCATTACAAACTTGAAAACAAATACTCAATATATATATATGGTGGAATCCTTGCTTGAATTATGAGGCTTCTTGCTTCTTGCTTGAATTGTTTACAAATTTTGAACTTTGGTCTTTCTTAAAGTATCTTCCTCTTTGTTTGTTTTTTCTTTTATCGTAAGTGTTTTTTCACATCCATTAAGCCACAAAACTATAATGTTTTGTACAGTTATGAAAAAAATATAACAACAGAGCAGTAAAAAATAAAAATCAAAAAAATAACCTAAAGCCAAGAATAACTCGTAAATAGATTTATGCATGATCGGGAAGATTCAAGTTATCCCGGATTAAATAGTCACATCGTCGCATACTTCCAAGCAACGATCCAACCATATTTCCTGCCGGATCCGCCGTGAGTTTCACCGGAATATCCCCGCAAAACACAGTCACGAAACCATGTCCACGGTCTAGCTTCAATCCGGCGACAATCTCCACCCGATAATCCCATACCACGCTGCCGATAGCTCCCGTCGTCACCACCGTTTTGAAATCGATAGTCGTAGACGACTCATCAGTTTTTTCGTACGTAACAAGTGGCTCGAGGCCATACAACGGCGGAGACACCTCGGAGATAACTTGGCCGCCACGAAGGAGACGCGATTAGATTGTATGGAGAGAGATGCTACATCCGGTGAGAGGACTCTTGGCAGCCAAACCGATTCTCCAATCAGCGGTTGAAACGTTTGCCCTTGTGCTTGAGTTTGAGACATAGACGGAGTGAGCAAAGAGGTCCACGTAACAACCTTTTCTCTCCAGGCTGTGAATAACTCCAAAGAAGAGAGGGACGAGGATGAAGAAAATAGTCAAACAGGAGTAGTAACGACACCAACAAGCTGGAGTAATTTCGAGGGCTGCGTCGTCTTCGGAAGCGGTGGCTGAAGCTTGACGTCGTCCAGACGTTTCCATGATGGAAGTTTATGTAAACTGAAAAGATTAACTATTAGTTTAGGTTTTGATGAGGTTTGTTACTCTACGTAATCAACAAGACGAGTTGTTATTCCCTATCCATATATATAAGAAAAAATAATCACCTATTTTAAAAAAGAAAATATATATGTTTCTGGTCCTTTTGTTGATAAAGTCCAAAGATCAGTGGGAAATTATCTATGTTTACCTACTTTAATTATTTATTTAAAAATAGTTTGGGATTTTAAAACATTAAAAAAAACTTATGAAACTAGGGAAACGAACCATATCGTATCAAGAAATCGCAAGTACATGTTTTTGCTATTAAATTTAGTTAAAACACCACAATTCGGAACAACTTATGAAAGTAGAAAGCCTAAGAAGGAAGTTTTAGTTGGAGTACTTGGAGTTGGATTTAGATAGAATTGATTAATTTTAAATGCCATGTTATTTGTTAATCTTACGTACATAGAGTTTTGTTAGATTTGGTAAAACTTTCTTTTTTAATCAGCGAAGATATATAAATAATTAACATCTATGAAATATTTCTGTTATAAGAAACTGTAAGAATCCAGACGTAATTACTCTAAATGTAACTATAACTTTTTTTATATATTCATATAACATACTAATCAAACCCATAGTATTCTGAGATGTATGATTTATAAGTTGTAAATTAATAAGAGTTCATATCCCTATAGCACTATATTTTAACGTAATCACAAAATCATCAAACTAATAACAAATTTCATGAAGAATGTTAGAAGCCATAAACCAATGAGTAAGATTATATATATTAAAAATCTTAAAACTCATAAACCAATAACAACAAAATCTAGAAAAAAAAAATCCAATAATGGTTAAAATTTTAACTCCACACTAAACCTAATTAATATGTAATTTGATAAATTCTGTTTCGATATGGTCTTAAAAACCTCTTCGGTTTTGTAAAAGAGGATTGGCATATAATAATCTTGTCACGGCTTCGCGTCAGATCTTGGCATCGTATATTGAAGTGTCCAGCTTCATCAGGATATAGGTAAAGCTTATGCTTCGCCCTGAGTTTGACGTCAAGCTCCTCAGAAACGACGCCGCTTCTGTTTCCCTGCTGCTCAGCAACGAAAGCCAACGAGAACAACATGTGATCTCTAGAATGACCACGTTTACGAGTGATGTTTAAAACGGCGGCGTTTATCTGACCGAGCCTCACGGAAGCGTCACTGTCGCCGTAGTAAATAGAATACCTCGAACTCGTGTCCTTCACCAGGAAGTCGACCTTCCACGTGTTGGAGGAGACGTGGATGTGTTGGATGGAGACTTTGGCGTGGGGGTGAGCTTTGTCGATTTTTAGAGACAAGATCAAATACATGGCGATGACGGTGAACAGGGCGCCGAGAAAGGGTGAAAAGCCAACTGCAGATTCCATGAATGTGTCTTTACGATTAGGATCGTTATTTGCTGGTAGAGTCACTATTGGTCGAAACCACCACCCACAAAGACGACTGCCGGAGGAGGAGGACGACGGTGGCGATTGGTAAGCATTGGTTTGGGAATCCATTCTCTTTTTTTTTTTTATATTCTTTTGTTGGTTTGGACTTTGGAGACGACAATAGTTGTATATATCGATGTTAGTAGCTTGTCATTAAAATTATAGAGAGTTTTGGGAATCTATATCTCACTTTTTTAAAAAAGAAATTTTTTTGTGCGTGGATAAATAAAGTTAGTTATTTCAAGGATTACCATAAACACTAAAAATCATAATTCAGTTAATTTAGAAAACCATGCTTTTGATACATAAAGCCACATATTAACCAAAATATGGTGGAATCCCCGCTGAAGCTTTCTTGCTTTCAGTATATTGTTTACAAATTTTAAAATTTTGGTCTTTCTTAAAATTATTTTCCTCTTATTTGATTGTTCTGTTATCGTAAGTGTTTTTCCAAATTCAATAAACCACAAAACTATTTAAACTCAATTAGGTAACGTAAACTAATGTTTTGTACAATTATTAAGAAATATAACAAAAGAGCAAAGAAAATAAAACTAAAAATAAAAATAAACCCTAAAGCCAAGAATAACTCGCAAATAGATTCATGCATGAATCATGATCTTGTTTAGAAAAAAAAAGAAAAAGAAAGAAAGATTTATGCATGATCGGGAAGATTCAAGTTATCCCGGATTAAATAGTCACATCGTCGCATACTTCCGAGCAATGATCCAACCATATTTCCTGCCGGATCCGCCGTGAATATCACCGGAATATCCCCGCAAAACACCGTCAAGAAACCATGTCCAGTGTCTAGCTTCAGTCCGGCGACGGTCTCCACCCGATAATCCCATACCACGCTGCCGATAACTCCCGGCGTCACAACCGTTTTGAAATCGAGAGTCGTAGACGACTCATCAGTTTTTTCGTACGTAACAAGTTGCTCGAGACCATACAACGGCGGAGACACCTCGGAGATAACTTGGCCGCCACGAAGGAGACGCGATTGGATTGTATGGAGAGAGATATGACATCCGGTGAGTGGACTCTTGGCAACCAAACGGATTCTCCAATCAGCGGTTGAAACGTTTGCGTTTGTGCTTGAGTTTGAGACAGAGACGGAGTGAGCAAAGAGCTCCACGTAACATCCTTCTCTCTGCAGGTTGTCAAGAACTATATAGTAAAGAGGGACAAGGATGAAGACAATAGTCCAACAGGAGTAGCAACCACACCAACAAGCTGGAGTAACTTCGGAAGCGGTGGTTGAAGCTTGACGGCGTCCAGACGTTTCCATGTTGGAAGTTTATGAATAGATATTCACTATTAGTTTAGGTTTTGATGCGATTTGTTACTCAACGAAATCAACAAGACGAGTTGTTATTCCCTATCCATATATATAAGTAACAAATAATCACCTATTTTAAAAAAGAAAATTCTAGTCCTTTTGTTGATAAAGTATAATGAACAATGGGAAATTGTCTATGTTCATCTACTTTAATTATTTATATAAAAATAGTTTGGGTTTTAAAAACATTAAAACAAACTTATGAAAATAGGGAAACGAACCAGATCGTATCACCTAATACTCTAATAGAAATCGCAAGTACATTTTTTTTGTTAATAAATCTAATTAAAACACCACAATTCGGAACAACTTATGAAACTAGAAAGCCTTAGAAGGAAGTTTTAGTTGGAGTTGGATTTAGATAGAGTTGATTGATTTTAAATGTCATGATATTTGTTAATCTTACAAAGAGTTTTGTTAGATTTGGTAAAGTTTTCTTTATATATCTGCGGAGATATATAACATTTATGAAATACTTCTGTTATAATAAACTCTAAACACGGACGTGATTACTCTATATGTAATTCCAGACGTGATTACTCTATATATATGTAACTAATTTTTTTTTTCTTTTCTTCATATGACATACTAATCAAACACAGTATTCTGAGAGATGATTTATAAGTTAAATTAATAAGAGTTCATATCCCAATAACATTAGATTACCATAATCACAAAATCATCAAACCAATAATAACAAATTTCGTGAAGAATATTAGATGCCATAAAACCAATGAGTAAGATTCTATTAAAAAACTTAAAATTCATAAACCAATAACAACAAAATCTATTAAAAATTCTAACAATGGTTAAAATTTCAACTCCACACTAAACCTAATTAATATGTAATCTGACAAATTCTGTTTAGATAAGTGATTAAAAACCTATTCGATTTTGTAAAAATGGATTGGCATAAAATAATCTTGTCACGGCTTCGCGTCAGATTTTGGCATCGTATATTGAAGTGTCCAGCTTCATCAGGATCTAGGTAAAGCTTATGCTTCGCCCTGAGTTTGACGTCAAGCTCCTCAGAAACGACGCCGCTTCTGTTTCCCTGCTGCTCAGCAACAAAAGCCAACGAGAACAACGTGTGATCTCTAGAATGACCACGTTTACGAGTGATGTTTAAAACGGCGGCGTTTAGCTGACCGAGCCTCACGGAAGCGTCACTGTCGTCGTAGTAAATAGAATACCTCGAACTCGGGTCTTTCACCAGGAAGTCGACTTGCCACGTGTTGGAGGAGACGTCGATGTGTTGGATGGAGACTTTGGCGTGGGGGTGAGCTTTGTCGATTTTTAGAGACAAGATTAAATACATGGCGATGACGGTGAACAGGGCGCCGAGAAAGGGTGAAAAGCCAGCTGCAAAATCCATGAATGTGGCTTTACGATTAGGATCATCATTATTTGCTGGTGGAGTCACTATTGGTCGAAACCACCACCCATTAAGACGACTGCCGGAGGAGGACGACGACCGTGGCGGTTGGTAAGTATTGGTTTGGGAATCCATTATTTTCTTTTTCTTTTGTTGGTTTGGATTTTGTAGAGAAGAATTATATATATCGATGTTAGCTTATCATTAAAATTATAGAGACTTTTGGGAATCAATATCTCACATTAAAGAAAAAAAATGTGCGTGGATAAATAAAATTAGTTATTTCAAGGATTATCATTAACATTAAATCATAATTCAGTTAATTAAGAAAACCATGCTTTGATACATAAAAACTTAAAAGATATCAACACAGACTTTTATATTCACAATAAAAAAAATCTATAAGACTATGCATATAGTATTTTGTTTTATCATTGATTTAAAATGTTTATAAGCAATGGTTTGTACTTTGAACCAGGAAAACAAATAAAACACATGAGCATCATCAAGTTTGAATATCAAATCATAGGAATTTGTTTTATCTTTGTTTTTCACAGTTTGAGTAGATATATGACCATAGGTTAGCTATAGAACTGGGCCCAATATTGCAAACTCATAGGCCCAAAGCTCCGTTCCCAAAACAAAATTGAAAATGGCGTTTCTTCCGCCATTGACGTATTCGATGATGCAAGAGCAAGGGAAGCTCCACAGGAGATTCTTCATGTTTCTCAAGTCACTACACACGTCAATCACAAATTCCTTTTCCTTTCTCTACACTTTCTATGTATATATATTGCCTCCTGAAATCGATTTGAATGAATAAAACATAACGAACAACAAGTAGAAGAAGAAGCACATTCGTCGGAAAACAAAAATTGATTGTTTCAGTTTATTTGGAGCCTGAATCGCCAAAAATGGAAGGTATAGGATCTTCATCTAGACAAGGAAGGAGGGTGGTGGTGATCGGCGGCGGAATCGGCGGCTCCCTCGCCGCGAAATCGCTTCAGTTCGATGCTGACGTCACTCTCATCGATCCGTAAGTTTTTTTTTTTCTTTCTTCTTCAAATTTTCAAAACGCCCATTTTGTTTTAAATCTCAGCTCAAAATTGTTGTTGACATCATCCAAATCAGGAAGGAGTACTTTGAGATTACCTGGGCAAGCTTGAGATCCATGGTGGAGCCTTCGTTTGCAGAACGAACACTCATCAACCACAAGAGCTACTTGAAAAACGGCCGTGTCGTCACTTCTCCGGCGATCAATATCACAGAGACCGATGTCACGACTGCAGATGGAGCTGTGATTGGATATGATTATCTTGTGATTGCTACTGGTCACAACGACTTGTTGCCCAAAACTAGGCAAGAGAAGCTCTCACAATACCAAGCAGGTATGATCTCAAATCTCATATCATCATCATAATCACTTGGTGAATGAGAATGCTTGTTAGAAACATTTGGCGAAATGATTTGATTTGGTTGCAGAATATGAGAAGATAAAA